AGAGAAATCAGGCAAGGAAGGAGCTAGGCATGAGAGCAGAATAGAAGCTGTGTAGAGAGAGAACTATCACAGAATAATAATAAAGTGTATGAACTAAGGAGTTTCGTGTACATAGATTCATTTCTTTTCATCAAAGATTAATTATCAGCTGGTTGTAGATTCTTCCCGGACCCTGGGAGGGGACTATCGAGGGGCTGGACCCCCTTAGTCCCCGATAGTATCACACCTATTTACATGAAGATTGAAAGTGATAATTTTAGCCAGTTCTGGCTTTTGGGTTTATGCATAGAGATAAGATTCATCACCATGTATGTTTTGCTAAATAGATAAGATAAAACAATAAGATTAAGAAAGTAAACGTATTGACATGCATTTTTAAAACACCCAATTAAGAGATTAGAGAAGGGAGGTGATGGTGATGGTGATGATGTTTATAATGATGGTGATATTTATAATGATGGGGATAAGGATGTGGATGATGGTATTTATAATGACTGTGATGATAGTTAACAGATAATTGTTAAGAACAGATAAATTTTATTGAGGCTCAGCTTTTTTCTTTTAAAGACAAAGTCTCGCTTTGTAGTGTAGACAGGACTTGAACTCATGATTCTCCTGCCTCAAGCCTCAGCTTCCTAAATGCTGGGATTTTAGGCATGTGTGGCCATCCCCAGCTGTTTTCTTTACGAAGTTTGTAAATACACTGCTGCACCAATACTCAGCGTGCAGTGTTGCCAAAGAGCACAACCTAAAGAAAGATCTAGTTCCCTTGCCAAAATGATTGTTTAAATGTAACTACAGTAACATGTAGCATGAATCTTAGAGAGTTCTTATTAATAAAATCAAACCTGAGGCCAGTTATTGGGGTGAATACTGGAAGATCAGAGAACCAGAACAAGCGACAGCTACCTCACCTCTCCGGATCCTCAGCTGGTCTTGTTTCCTCAGCCTAGAGGCCTCTGAGTCCTCATCCAGAATGAATCTCACCTGAACTGTGTTGCTCCACAGCCTAAAAGCTTAACCAGCCAAATGCTTAACCAGCCAAAATGCTTCTAGTTTCTGGTCCTCATGCCTTATATACCTTTCTGTTTTCTACCACCACTTCCTGGGATTAAAGGCTCGCATGTGTCACCATGCTTGGCCATTTCCAGTGTGGCCTTGAACTCACAGAGATCCAGAGGGATTTCTACCTCTGGAATGCTAGGATTAAAGGTGTGAGTGCCACCATTTTCTAGCCTCTGTATCTAGTGGCTGTTCTGTCTCTGACCCCAGATAAGTTCATTAGAGTGCACAATATTTTGGGGAACACAATACCACCACAGTAACATGTGAATGATATGCTGAATACATCATAGTGTCTTACAGATTTGGGGGAAATCAGTTTATAGAAAGCTAATCGGAAAGCTGCACGTCTGCTTAAGTCAGTGAAATCAGAATTGTCCACATGACTGTACTGTCATATCTCGGAGAACATGACGCATGAGCAATCAGTAGTGCTGAAAAACTGTATCGAAATAGTCGGATGATAATTTTCGGTAACTTTGATAAACTGTGTGCTAAGTAGTGGTGTGATAATTTCCAGTCACTATTTAGTTCGGCAGTGTCAGACTTCATGAGGAATGCAAGTATTCTCTGTGCTGCTGCTGTGAAGTTAAAAATTCGATTCCGCATACTCCTGGGTGGCGACAGCACCACTTCACTGAAGAGGGCTGCGGCCTTCCCGTTACTCACCGCAGCAGGAGTTCTGCCGGCCGGCGCTGCAAGCCTTGTGTTTGGAACATTCCGTGCCTTTTTTTCCATTCTGGAGAGACGCCGTAGGGGCAAAGTAGGAACACTCTCAGTCGCCTGAGCCGCAGCTGGAGGCTGTGCCCTCAGTCCCTGTGCCCCTGCAGTCAGGTGCTTGGCATGCCCTCCTGCTGGGTTGACCGTGTGTGTGTGTGTGTGTGTGTGTGTGTGTGTGTGTGTGTGTGTGTGTGTGTGTGTGTGTCCCCTGATATTCCCTCAGGCACTCCAGCTATGCAACAATGGTGGATTGCCATAGACATTTTTGGCTTGTGCAAATATTTGACCTCATAAGTTTTAAGGACAAATCTCCAAGGTTAAACGTTGCATTTAAATGTATTAATAACTATGTAAAGGATCATATTGTTATAGACTGTGCACAGAACTTTTTTGGAGTAAGTTAACATTAGTATTTGAGTAAAGTGTGAATGAAAATTTTATAACACCATTTGTCAAGCAACCATCGTTGATGCATTTAAATGGACTTGTTTACTGAGCATTGACCTCAACCTGAATAATCTTATTAGAAATTGCCATACAGTTACTGCATGTCCACTATGATGTTTCATACTGAAGAAAACAGTTTCTGAGTGTGTTAAAGCTGTGTGTGTGTTGGTCATGTAATTGTGTTTCTTTGTCAATGAGATGCCTCCTTTATATGAATTTCATATTTAGAGTTATGGCTTCTCCACGGTTCTACATTCTTAATCGCTTTTGTGTGCTGTACTAATACAGCAGATGGACTAATGATGAAGAACAAAGCTTTGCTTTTTATAGTTATACAGGCAAGGAATTCCAGGGTCGAGAGGCGTGAGTCTGGTTGGGACCTTCATGCCGTGTAGAAGGCAAAGGGGCAAGGGTTTGAACGAGAAGGGGGACAGCACAGGAACACACGAGGTCAAGTTAGTCAGCAAGCCAGGAGCCTAACCGCACCGCACCGCTGTGAGTGGATTCCGCCTCTGCTCCCACTCCTTGAAAGACTGCGTTCTTCACTTTAAATATGGCGCACAGGACTGCTGTCGGGATGTGCCAGTCACTCCATAAGACTAGCTGTGGTGGATTGGGTTTGCTACCCTCTGCCTCTTTGCTTTTCTACCTGCCCTGCAGTCTAGCTCCTTCTGTCCTCTCAGGCTCTATGGTTTGTCTCTCATCTATATTTTCCATGAGGTTTATAGGTTTCTTAAGAAAGTGCCTGTCTTAACTGTTGTATCTACCACTAAAATATGGAACAGTAATGATTGTCTTATGTACACTGACTGGCGTATCCTGAAAGTAGCCCTGCACACTCTCTTCAAGGTAGGAAACAAAATCTTTCTAGTAGGAGCAGAGCTGGAATTCAGACTCACACCTGCTCCTGGCTCCTTTGTGAAAAAGATACTGGCTAGTGAAGTGAAGCAGGTCCTCGAACCCTGCTCCTGCAGAGACAGCTCGGGTGAAAGATTGAAGAAGAAACAGCGAGGATGTTGAGGAACAGACTTTTTTATTCTGAAAAACACCTGCCAATAGGGTTCACAATGAACTTGACAACAGAGTTCAACCAAAAGAAAGCTCAATGGTTATTCTGGTGACTCAGCAGTAATGCTGTTTTATTGTTGAGCTTTACATCCTAGTATTGAACTTTAAAGTAGAAGTCAATATAGTAAGGCAGTAGAATATAAGATAAAACCACAAAGAGAAATCTTAGAAGAGTCCATACCTGTAGTGAACAGACATTTCCAGTGTATTCAGTCCCACTAATAAGGGTATGGAGAACTTCCTTTTCTGATTGGCAGGGATTTTTCCACAATAGTTTGTATATCTTGCAGATAACTGTGTTATTGGAAAACACAGTTAAAACTGATGATTAGGTGTTTCAGTTAGAAGCAAATATTTTACAGGATTGTTTTATACTATATACTGTTAGCCATTAGCATTTTTATCATTGAACAAGAAAATTTCAGTAGATGTTTTTCCAAGGAAATAAAACAGAATTAGAAAAAATGCTATATATGACTGCTGTGTAATTTTCATCATATAATCACTTAGCATTGACTGTAAATGTCTTCATATGATCGCCAACCCATATAACAACAGGATGTTGAACACAGATATAACAGTTATGTGAAGTGGTACATCTTCAGGTTAGTGGGTTGCTGGATGGGTTGATTGATTGGACAGTTGGAGAAAGACAGACACAGAGGTGGCTTGCTTAAAAATGAGGTTTGTAAACTCATCTAAAATTATAGTAGTTGCCACATGGAAAATTACTACAGCATTATATTTGCTGTAACCACAGGTTAGAAATGACTTGGATCTTGGATCTTAAAGAGTTGGCTATAGCAAATGCATCTAGAATGATACAGGAAAACGGCTTTCAAAATTAACAGAAGGAAATGCATGTGATTTTCCTTGTGTTGTATGTTTATATAATTATAAAAAAGAATGCATAAACATTTAAGACTGAGTGTGTGTCAACCCTGTGTTAGCAGAATTACACTGTGGGAGACAAGGCACTCTTCATTTTTGTGAGGCCATCCCAGCAAGGGATGGAGGCATGTGCTGTCACTTCAAGAGAACTGTCCAAAGTTTAGACACAGGTGTCACTGTCCCTCTAGTCTCAGATCCCCTGTTCTCACTTAGTGACAGGTAAAGCTTGATGGCGCTCTTCCTGCTTAGCTTCTTTAGAATTCTTTAACAATGTCAGTGTCAGAAGAGTTAGCAAAACCTCCTGAGTGAGTCTGGCCCTTGCTGTATTCCCCAGAGCACCTGACAAAGATTGGAATATGACCAGCGTTACTTAGTAATGTCCTTCTACTAAAACACCCAGGGTCTGGTCTAAACTGTTAATACCGATGGAAGCTACAACTTTGGGTATCACGAGTTCAGTGTTTCAAGATGGACCTGACCCTGTGGGACATGGACTTTGGACACTAGAATGACTCTCCTGTCGACCCCATATCGTGGTTAGCTCCTTACACCAGCTGCTGGGACTCCACAGATGAGCACTGGGTCCTGTCATCCTGGCAAACTATAGATCCCCCAATATTCTTTTGAACAGAGTTTGTGGAACTTCTCCCAAGAAGTCTAAATGTTTAGTTTATCCTACAAAGACACCCAGAGAGTATTCAAGTAATCTGATCCTGCAGTTTGTTACTACAGTGAGAAAGTAGTATTTTAACTCTGTCAATTAACTCTGTTTTGGGGCTTTGGCAAAAACATTCTACTGAGTCAAGACATGTGTCTTTTGGTCCTAGTTTTCAGTAATATATTGTTACCTTGGACAAGCTACTTCTGAAACTCAATTTTCTAAAGTGCTAGCTAAAACCTTTGACTAATGTCATTCCTGATATCCTCCCAACTCTTATTTCCTGTAGTTCTGACTCGCTCATTCTAAGTAAAAGTTTAACCTTTAATAGAAGAACTCCAGTGTTGTTTGTTCCCCAGCCTGACAGATGGGCAGGTAGCGTGAAAGCCAAGTGTTAGCTACAGTGTTCATTCTTCCAAATTCAGGTTTTTGGAAGTGATGTCCCACTATACATAGTTCTAAATGAAACATTTACTACCAGTGAGATGCAGAGAATATGAACAATTTAAGGTATAAACCCTTGAGGAATTCAGGAATTTAGGGGAGGGAAACGAATCAGAATGAAATTTGCAGAGCATGTGGTTATTTTATCATCTCACCTTTCGTTTGTAGGTTGTGAACTGGCTTGAAGGGCCTGGATCTGAACAGCTGAGAGCACAGTGGGGGATTGGTGACTCCATCAGGGCTTCCCAGGCCCTGCAACAAAAGCATGAGGAGATCGAGAGCCAGCACAGTGTGAGCGCTTTCCCTCAGCAAGTCACAGTGTGGCCTTCTGTGGGGATCACTAGTACTTGGGTGGGACTGAATGCTCTGCATTGGATTGCTCCAAATGTTGGTAGAGGACACAGAGTGCTTATGCTGAGTGCTTAGAGGCCTGAAAGTACATGTTGAGACTTAACACATAATCATTGATAGTTTGGTCTTAATTCCCATACAGTTCCATGATTTTGTTCTAGAAGCACAGTTTGGATGACATTTAGTGTCAGGGAACAGGTGACCTGAAAATACAGAGCCTGGGACGGAGAGTTCTGGCTTCAGTTGTTGTTTCACCAAGTATTACTCACATAGAGTAGCAGGGTTCATTGTGACATCTTTACACGTGTATAGCAAATATTCTGATCATAATCACCTCCCTTTACAGCCCTCAGTTGTCCCCCATCCCCCCCATTCCCTTTCCTTTTCCAAGTGACACTCCTATTGTGTAGTCTTTGGAGTGGGGCCTTCCCTGCTCTGCTGGGAACATACAATACAATTGAACGCTGAGAGCCACACCACAGCCGCTGTGTTAAAGTCACCCATGGAGCTGAGGACATGCCGTACAGAACATCTGTCCACTCTGTTGATTTAAAGATTTACTCCTGTATTTAGGAAGGTGACAATCAGGAAACCAGCTATACATTGGGCAATCAATTAATCCCTAAACTGGTTGTAGATAATGATGGCTCAAAAGAATTTAAAATGTAAAACTTGGTAGGTGGAGGAGTCTAGTATCCCTTAGCTTCTGCGGTGGGGTAGTGAGCCTGGCCTCAATGAGGAAGTCGTACCTGGCTTGTGAGGTATGACTTTCTTGAATAAAATACTAAATATTAGAACCTTAAATATCATAAGCTATTATCAACCTCAAGCTGTGTTACTCATGTTGATTTTAAGTGAACTGAATATAATTTCGTCTCCTTAGACTGTCTTCAAAAACTGGCCAGCAGTAGTAATGTTGAACTCACACTCATAAGAAACTTAAAAATGAAATCCTATAATTGAAAATGTGTGTGTGTTAATGCATTGCACAGCTTCCAACATGGCTCTCTCTTATATGGTTAAACAAAGTTGTAGTGGATGATTTATATTTAACATATAAGCCCTGTTCCTGGGGTTATAATCTTTTTAATTCTCTTGGTCCTTTTTAAATGATGTAATACTATCGAGTTGGTTTGGGGTTTTCTTTTATTTTTTGATAGGGATTTGGTTTGATAGAACTATGTGGATTATTCTGGAGTACAGTATTATAGTATAACTGGATTCTAAAATGTGTTCCCTTATTCTTTAGTTCTTGAAAACAATGTTTGTCATAGAGCATTCTAGACTTGGTCTGAGCGGACTTACTATGTAAGACTTTTAGTGAGGGTTTGTGACGTGAGGAGCTTGAAGACAAGTATTTGCGTTTTGTCATTTTAAAAAGAAACCAAGAGAAACACCTGTAGGTAGAAAATGGATATACGCATACCATTTGTAAGTTCACATTGGATTAAAAAGTACATTGTGTGTTCTGTGCAGTAAGGATAAATGTGCAGATCACACACATAGACATGCTTGTATAACATTGTCTTTAAATCACAAGGTCATTAAGTTACTTTAAAGAAGCAATGTGCTTATGGGATCTGTGTGCTTCAGGGTACTTTTGCATGTTGAAATGTATGTAGAACTTTTAAATTGGAAAGGCCACCAGCTAGTGGAGATATCTAAATGTAGATTCTTCCAATGCCACCACATTGTCTTCTAGATGCAGACTCTGTTGACGAACTATGCATGCTTTACCAGCCCCCCCCCCCCAGTAGACCTCTGAGTGCCTGGATGCAGTCCTTTCTATTTCTTCCATAGAGAAATCACTCAACTTAATGAAAAACTTAAGAGACACCATGTTCTTGTTTATGTCTTAATTCCTATGCTGTTAGTCCTTGGGGCCTTATGTAGGTAAATTGACATCTCCATTCATGGTCTTCAAGAAAAGAAACACTTGAGGGCCATTATAGATTCATTTCTTTAAGTTGTGTGGTATTTGGGATTCATTGTAAAACTGGTAGGTGTGGAAAGAGTGGGTGAGAGTCGGGGTGAAATGTAGTCAGCCGCAGTTGGTAACTACTAAAGCTTGGTAGACATGGAGTTTCATTATTTTGGTCTGTTGCTGTTGCACTTTCATTTGATTTGAAAGTCTCCCTTGCAGGGTTTAGAAGGAGGATTGCACTGTTTTAGCCAATAGGTGGCGCTGCACTGTTGACTTGTGAATGGGTTGGTTGATAATAAATGTGCTAGCTTATGATATTTAAGGTTCTAATATTTAGTATTTTATTCAAGACTTTCTTAACTGGCTATGGAATATAACACATACCTGTTATCCCAAGCAGAGGGTAGAGAATTCCCACAGTTTGAGGCCAATCTGGTCAACATAGCCAGTTATAGACTATCCGGGGCTACATACTCTGGGTCAAAACCAACCAACCAACCAAAAACAGAATTAAAACTCTATTTGTTCTTTGTAAATAAAATCCAACCATTGAAAGAATTTATTGGCATTTTTCAGGTCTTGTGAAGTAATGGCAAAATTCTAGTGTTGATAGCTAACAAAGATAGAATTTGGAAAATTTTAATATACCATTTGCATTAAATTACTATGCTAAGCATTAAATTTCAAATTTTACATAAAAGCATAGTGGAGAATTAAAACTAAAAACACAAATGTGTTTGGCTTTTAGGATTACTGTAAAGAAGAATGAGATTCCTACCAACATGCAGTTCTTTGCAAGGGATTATAGGCTAGAAATTCATTCAGCTTTTTAATACAATAGGAAAAATAGTAAGAAGCAGGGTATAGTTATAGGATTGATAACAAATTTTAAAATATTTTAATTGAAGTTGGGTGTGGTGTTGAATACTTATAATCTTAGATCTTTAAGACAGGGGAGTTACAAGTTGGAAGCCAGTCCTTGTCTCAAAAACCATGAAAAACATAAAAAAAGGAATTTTAGTTCAGTGAAAGTCTTTTAGATTTTGGTGGAGGCTAGTGTAGTAGAAAATATAAGGAAAGATGTGGAATATAGTCTCTAAAGTTTTTGTGGCATTCTGTCAGTGTCCTGGCCACAGAGGCCACATGTTCCTGCTCTGTGCCATCTAATAGGAATCAGCAACACAGGTTTGCGTAAGGAGTCAAGACACATTTCATCTTGATACAGACTGTGTGGGAGTCACCTTGATAGCTGACTTGGCAGTGTTTCATCTGCATCAGGATGCTGTTCCCTGGGAAAGCTGGCATAGATGCTCATCATCCCAGCTGTGCGCCTCTACTACACACACTGGTGGCTGGGGCCTGACTGTCTTAGTATAAAGAAGACGTTCAAGCTCATTGGCTGTTTAAGACTTAATTCAGGCCCCAACTTTTGTGCTTTTTTATTTTCCTATACTTAATCATTTCCATACAATAGAGTGCAAGCTAGATAGACTAGATTGAATCAAAGGCAGTCTGCTTGCCTGAGGTCACACATACCCCATGTCCCCCTCTTTTCTAGGAAGAAACACTTTGATTAGTTTTAAGTATATATTATAGGTGAGCCAGGTCCTCCCTGATCCTCATCTTAGATAGGCTGATTTGTCTTTAGAACAACCTTAGTTATGTAAGTGAGTAAAATCCGAATCTCCAATCAATGTATTGATTTCTTGAGGCATACCAGTTCTTGTGTTATATTTACATCCCTGGCGAAGTTGCAGAACCTGTATGTATATTATGAATTCATAAAGGAAGAAGAAAGCATCTATGCAATGGTGATTCTTCATCATAAAGGGCATAACTTAAAGGGTGCTTTTAAAAATGTACACCCTGGAGCCCAGCAAAGAGTTTAGACACTTTGATGTGCACCAAGCCAACATGAGAAATTGTATTCGTGACTGCTAACATTTCAGCTTACTGCCTTGCTTAGACTCAGTGCAACTTCTTTTTCAGGAACTGGACACTTTTCTTCAGAATACTAACTAAATTTCCAAGTGCTATAAATAAGACAGTGAAATCACTTCCTATTTAGGAACATGACAGCAATTTTCTCCATGATATTTTTCACATTAAGACAGCCATTCTTGGACTGGTGAGAAGGTGCCTGCTGTCAAGCCTGATGACCTGAGTTTTGTCCTCTGTACCCACATGGTGGGAAGACAAAACCGACTCCAGAAAGTTGCCCACACACACATGCTGCACAGTAGTGCCCACACATTCTCCCACATGCACACAACACACATACAGTGGAAATAGGATTTTGATAGCTATACTTTATCAGTCATTGTAATAACTTCATATTTTAAAAAATAGTTTAAAAACTAATTGTTTCTAAGATAAGATAGTAAGGCAGTTTTTATCACCACCGTTAATGGAACAGTAACTTGACCTCTACATTTCTACCAGTTTAGACACGTAGGTCTTGGTTATATAGACTCTCATACATATTACTACTGTGTTCTTCTTAGTCATGTTAACCAAAAATTATCTCCAGACATTGCCCAAATCATCCCATTACCTACTTAATTTAATGTCAAGTCTGCAATGTCTATTACATTTTGTATATTTATTCAGTGTGTGTTAATTGAGCACATTGTTCTGAATTCTTGAGTTATAGTAAAGTCTTACCATACAGAATTTACATTCAAGTCAGGAGAGATGGGGAGTAGAGAGCAATAGAGGTATGGTGTTGAAGAAAAGTCTCTCTAGGAGATGACATTTAGTACTCAAACCTTGAAATTCGGTGAAGGAGTAGTCCAAGCAAAGGACACGAGATGGAAAACGAGGTGTGGGAAGCAGGCTGCTGGAGAAGCATGATGGAGGCAGAATGTTGTGTTGCCAGGGAACAGGGAGCAAGGTGTAGACAGAAGCTCCAGTGTTGAGGGGAAGTCTACGGTAGGAGTGTGTGGTGTCTTGAACGTGTGGAAAGGAACTCAAGCTACTTTAAATGTTATTTGAAAGTTTTGGAGCATTTTTTTGAGCGTAGAGTTGTATGGAGCATAGAGTTAGAGATAATAAAAATGAAAGACTAGAAACTACTTAAATGAAGTCAGCAGACATTTGATGAGATGTTAGGTTCACAGGGTAGACAGCAGTACTTGTTGGTAGAGGACTAAAGCTTTGGAAATTTTCTAGTGAATGTGACATGATTGGTTTCAGAAGAGTGGAAGTAAAAAAAATCTGATCAGGAGAATTTCAAGAGAGAATAGGAAGGGAGAGAAAATGAGTATTGAGAACTATAAAGGGAGATCCTGTGTGTGTGTGTGTGTGTGTGTGTGTATGTGTGTGTGTGTGTGCGTGCGCGTGCACATACATAAGCACATGTGTGATTTAACTTAAAACATTAAAATGTAGACATCCTACAATGTGCTTTGAAATATATTTCATCTTACTTAGACGCTGATGGAAGTAATCCAGTTGACAAGGCATTGATGGGCAATAGAGACAATGTAGCAGCAGAAGCAAAGCTGTGTCAGCAGCAGTGGACTGGCTGCCATGAGCAGCCGGTGGCTGCAGAACCCTGGCTGCAGCATGAGGCAGGGTGGAGGGCCCCAGAAGAGGGCAGACAGTTTCAGGTAGGAAGATGAGAGACTTCCTGTTTCTCCCCAGTGACATAAGAAGTAAGATCGTAGGAGCTCTCTGTTCTTTCTCATTCTTGCTTATAGTCAATAAGTGAGAGGTGAGTGTAGGTACAGGTTGTGAACTCTGAAAAGATACCATGAAAGGGAGAAGTGAGGGTCTGAGAAAGAAGTGGGAAGGCCAGTAAGATACACATAATTGGAAAGTGGAAAGTGGCGGGGGCTGGGGGGTGGGGGCACACCAGGAGAGTGCCAGGAGTGTGGGGAAAGAGGGGAGAATAATAACACAAAGAAATTTATTTTTGAAAATGGCACTGCCGAATAAAACCCAATACTGTGTATGCTATTTTTTTAAATAATTAAAAAAATTGAGATCTTTGATGAAAGCACAAAGTGGGATATTATACATGCATGGGAATGTCACAGCTCTGAAACCTTTTAGTACATACAAGTAATATACATTAGTAATTATAAGCTGTTTTAAGTCTAAGAAGAGGCCAAATGTTTGGCTGCAAGTAATAAGGTTTTAAAAGAGAACTAGAGAGGTAAGGCATGAAAAAACCAGTAGTCAGGAGAATGGACAAGAGTTGGCCAGAGAGACACAGAAGCATTGCCAGGGTCTGATGGTTAGTGACAACAGAAGAAAAAAAAAATCTGCCTACTTCCCGCCACTCATTACCCAACTGTGGGGTGGGGGTGGGGGGCAGCACTGAAAAATATGTCTTTATGTTGCAGAAACATTGTGTGAGTGACTGTGATATTGGTGAGCTACGTAATCGGTGGCACCTCATTGTAATATGTGTCCTGCTACTGACCCTCGTTGTATATATTAGCCCATGGCTATAGTACCATAGCAACGTGAGCTTGGTCTAGTCACAGTGGGCAGAGAAACCTGCTTCCGGGTTGTGAAATGTACGTCAGGTAGTCATAGTCTTTGACCTAGGAGAGAAGAAAGAACAAGAGGCTGCCAGGTTGTGGGTAGTAAACCTGTTAGTCATGGATTGGTGGACCCCATGGGACTGTAAGTGTGAGCCTGCTAAAGGAAGACAACTGGGGTCAGTACTTGGAGGTCAGAGAATGGAATTCACAAGACTGAGGTTTAGGGAGCTGGGTAGTAGCAGGCAATCAGTTTTTGTGGTGTCTAAAGTAGGTCAGTGAGATGAAGTGAGAAGAATACAGTTGAGAAAAGAAATCAGGGAGTCAAGGACACAAGTTCAAGAGTTGGTGTCGGTATATGGTACCATGGTATACGGTGTTGGTACATGGTGGAAACACCACTGAGAGAAAGCCAAGGCCTTTGCCACACCCCCTGTGGATGGACTGGGGGGTGGGGGCTGGCAGGGAAAAATTCACCAGCATGCACTGAGAAGGTGGTGAGGTTTGGGGGAACAGATGAGAAACAGTGTGGAGATAATAATGAGGAGTCAGTCTACCTTTGAACTCACTCAAGGCTTGTGGGACATTGAGGGAGAAGGAAAGACTGCAGTTGGTTTGGGAAAATTTCGAGACCCTGTGTTCCCTGAGTGTAAACAGGCTTCCACTGGAGCAGGGACTAACAGGAGAGACTTCCAGGGAGCACAGTGGGAGGATTTGATGATAGGGAACTTACCCTCTATTTAAATAAATCGGCCTTACAAACCTTTCTGTTTCTCTTCTTGAGAAATTATAAACAGTGCTCCAGGAGCTAATCTTCAGTTTGTCATGTCCCTGTTACAGGAGTGGTTTGCAGTATATGTGGAGCTTAACCAGCAGATTGCAGCACTCTTGAACGCTGGGGACGAGGAAGATCTCGTGGAGTTGAAGTCTCTGCAGCAACAGCTTAGCGATGTTTGCTACCGACAGGCCAGTCAGCTAGAGTTCAGGCAAAATCTCCTACAGGCAGCTTTGGAATTTCATGGTGTGGCCCAAGATGTGAGTTCCTCTTCTGATTGCTTTCCATGTCTCCAAATGATGCAAACAATCTGTACAAAACTTTTGTAGGTTTGCATGCCCCATGATTATTTTTCGGGGACAGTAATTTACTGGTGGAGGTAATGAGATAAAATTCTTGAGTTAAAAATTATTTTGTTATGATGCATGCAATTAAACCTACTGTCTAACTAGAGTGGTCCAGACTATTACTTTACCTGGATGGTTTCTTGATAATGTGTTTTATAACATAGACAGAAACGGAGCCATCACTAACTTCTTGCATTCTGCTAACCTTCTTGGTGCATCTGTATGTCCCATCTTATAGATAACATGTATTCTGATTGCTCATCCTTATCTTTTAACTGCATAGTCTCTTCAAGTGCATTTGTGATGACCTCATTAGATAAACCTCATTAATCATTGAAGACTTGAGATGCCGGTTACATCAGGGTTGTCTCTTTGTCCCTCTGCTTTAGTTATCTCAGCAGTTGGATGGCTTATTAGGTATGTTGTGCGTAGACGTAGCACCAGCTGATGGAGCATCGATTCAGCAAACTTTAAAACTGCTTGAAGAGAAGCTGAAAAGTGTTGGTAAGCAGATTTTAAAAATGCTGAAACCTACAGGTTCTTTGTAAAAAGTATTACCATGGTTAGACAGTTAATTTATATACTGAACTAATTATCATTTGTAGGGAACACAGAAAACATAATATTGAAAGGTTTTATTCCATTGAAGGGCTATAATTTATGCTGAAACATTTATTTTCCATTGTGATTGGTCAGCCCTGCCTTCCTCGGGCCTTTCGCCTCCCTGTTACTCAATCTAAAGAGCTATGTCTTGCATATTCCAGGGACAGATACTTGTCATGCACGCAGAAACTGTAATTAATTGTGACATGTTCCATGATAAACCTTGCATGCCCTAGACTGTGTTTTATGCAATGATTTTTGTTGTTGCTATATTCTAACCACGAGCAAGAATAGTTGGTTTGATTCTGTGCATTGTATGTCCACACTGAGAGTTATCTTCAAGGGGAGTGTGGTCCAGTTTCATTAACCCCACTCTGTCACTTGATATTAAGACCCTTCATATGGGTTTGCAGTAGCAGACACCGTGCACTTCCTTAGTTGGAAGTCAGACTGAGAAGGGGACACCTTACAGAAGGGGTGAATGGGGAAGACACAGACCATGAAGGCGAGTTAGTAGAAAGTGATGACATATGAATGAACCAGAGTCATTCATTATGAAAACAACTTCGGGGAATTAGTTTACAAAGCATTTTTGTATTGACATTTTACGTGCTTACAGCCTTTGTTAAGTTAATGGATGGTATGCATAATACCTATTTAATATTTCATATGCCAAGTGTGATTTAAAGTATCACAAATTTTCTTGGGCCATACTTTTCTTCAAAAGAGAACTCCTGTGCAGATGTCTAATTTGGAGTCCAGACATCTTGGATGGAGCTTTCCATATGAGCTGCACTGACCCTCCTCACTGACCCTCCTCACTGACCCTCCTCACAGTGACCCTCCTCACTGACCCTCCTCACTGACCCTCCTCACAGTGACCCTCCTCACTGACCC